AGTGGAAGATGTGGAAGTTTTGTCCCAAGCCTTCCAACATGTGGGTTACCTAAACTGTGGAAAAAATTCTACAGTCATGAGGAGGTGTGAGAACACCTTATTCCATTTTGGTGACAGGAAATTTTTATTAAATCTGACACCTGTGATTAATATCAGATTTATTCTTCATTTTAAGAAACTATGCATTGATTCTTATTCATTCATTTATTTTTGTGAATTTCATAGACATGCATTATTGTTTTGAAATCATGTTCCTTAAAGTTTAGTTCATGCATGGTCTTGGTATTATTTATTACTTGGGTGATGCAATTGTTTGTTGTCAATTATAGCATCAAATGTATTGAATAATCATTGTGATGGATGTGAGGACAAAGGAATTCACATATGAGGAAAGGACTAAATAAGCTAAGCCATGTTTATTTTTTATCTATATAATTAATTATATTTAAAAAATTATTATTTTATTTCACCTTTGGAATGGCATTAATTTCAATAATTCTGAAATTGTTTGTTCCTTAGTGTTAATGATTGAATCAATCACACAAGTGGTAGTCAATTTAAATGACATTCATTTTTTAAAAGAGTTTTATTTGAAATAAATGCATTTACAGATTTTCATTCTTCAATGCTGGAAGTGTATAATTTTCTCACAGGTAAAATTTTATATTAATATGATTTAAAATACTCAATATTTTTGCTAAAATATTTAATATAATTGATTTTTTTTAATAGGCAATAGTGGGGCAATTGGATCTTGGCAATTACAAGATGAACCATATCTGGCAATATTATTTATTTTATTTTCATTTATTGTTGTATATTTGATGAATTTATTCATTGGTCTTCTTAACAATCAAATTGAAAATTATAATATAAATGAAGCATTTTTGGCACAAAAGGCAAAAATCATAACAGATATTGAATTATTTTATTTACTTCCTAATCAACATCATTGGAAAGAATGGTTTCTGATATTTTGTAAATATACAATTTTATTTATCTTTATTTTTTTTGATATTATAAATAATCATAAATACTTTAATTTGATAATTTGATAGATCTTATTACACGCCAATTGAAGATATTTGAAAAAAAACCAGAGAAATTGATGATGGCAAAGGAGATCCAGGATTTCTGAAATTTATCTCTGAAGAACTTAGAAAAACAGCAGATATACCCAAACCAGGTGGAGGCAAAATTGATAAAAATGATCTTGAAGAAATTGAAAAAAAACTTGAAAACAAATTAAATCATAATAATGAACAGATGTTGATTCAAATGCAAACTTTATTGAATGAGATTAAAAATTTAAAAAAATTATTATTATGAAAATGGTTTATTTATACAGAATTTAAAAAAAATACATACATATTTATTTACAAAACTTCTTTATAATATTTCACATATATTAATATGATATGTAATAGGGAAGGACAAGGATGATGTATAGGGTAAATTTATATACTTCTATATATTATGTAGTGAAGAAATGTATTTTCATATTAAATTAAGATTTAATAAAAAAGGTAAAAAAGGTAAATGTAAAAACGTTACTACTGTATTATGTCATGAATAAGAATTTGCTTTTTAACAAGTGCATGGCTCCAAACAGAACAGATACTATTAAATTGTAATTAAAGCTCCAAAAGAGCCAAGCCGAGTTGAGTTTATGCTTGGCTCAACTTGAAATTTAATATTATTTTTTATAAAATCATGATTTTGCAAAACACTGAAGAAGCAATAATAAACTATAATAATTTGTATAAGTTTAGAACATTTGAATCATAAATAATTTTATGACAGACCAAAAAATTCTGAAAATTTAAAATGAGAACAATGCTTTTTAGGTTCTGGAATATATGCACAAGAAATTGCATAATACTAAAATTACTAATCACAGTTTAATGAATTTTATGAAATTGCCATGACTTAAGTTCAGGAATTTTTTTATATTACCATCTTCTAAGCCATTTGTTCTTAGATGTTTTGTAAGGTTTTAACATATTTATTTTAATATCACATAATTTTAAAAATACAGGTTGAGAGATTTGTATTGCAAGTGTGTGATATACAGAGCTTTTTTTTTATCTTGCATGGTCATTGAGTTTATCCATTTTAAAGTTTAGCCAAAAATTTTGATGTCTTTAGATGATTGGCACCATACTATAGTTGGCTCGGTCTAAAGACCTCCTAAATTTTGGGCAAATTTTAAAAGTATAGAAGTCATTTTCTGTCCTATATACCTTTTAAAAAAATAGCCTCATTAGTTGGTAAAATATGTTTCTGCTTTTAATGTAATGAAGAGATTTCTCCAAAAAATTATTTATTGTAGAGTTCTATTCTTTTTTAAAACATGTACTTTACTATAATCATGAGAAATTTGAGCGCTAGGATCATTGCTAAATTTAGACTAGTTTTGATTATCATTACTAAATTTAGCCTAATACTCAACCATCATATCTAAATTTGGCAGTAAGTAAAATAGTTTTTTAACCAAAATCACGTGTAACCCTTTTTTAAAAAATTATGAGCGCGTGGCGCAACAATAGGAGGTCTTTAGACCGAGCCAACCATAAAAAAATTTTTTTATTAATATATAAAAATAAAAACAATAAATATTTTTTTTTAACAAGTGTTTCTTTCATTTTTTATTTGCCCAATGTTCATATGCTATTTTAAAATCAAAATTATGAATATCTGGTCCATTTAATAAAATCTATTAAATGATTATTCAATGTATTAATTAGTGTTCCATGTCGCAATCCAAAAAAGGAAACCAAAGTGGTCGCAAAGGTGGTTGCAACCAGGTGTCGCAAACCATTTTTATATGTCGCAAATCTGGTTGCAACCATCACCAAGAATTGCGACCAGCATCTATAGTATTAATATTCATTTTGTTTCTCAATTTGTTTTTATCAACTTCATTTCTGAAAATATTCTTTCTAAATGTGCATTAGAAGTACAAGGAGTGTTATTTTAATAATAATTGTTGAATTTGGGTAATTGAAAGAAGATATTGCTTAGTATTTCTTAGAATAAGAAATAGTTTAATATTAAAAGATAGTTTTGAGAGTAAAGCATAAATATACATTCATGGAAATTGTTATTACGATCTGGTATAAATAAATCAGAAGAAATTGGATTAAAATTATTGGCATATCATCGTAAATAAAATCTATAGATTTGTGTGAGACATGGATTTTGATCTCACAGTATTCAAAAAAAAAAATTAATTTATTATTAAAAAATCAATAAATAAAAGTATTTTGTTTATTTTTGCATTCAAAAAAATAGAATTATAACTGAAATCATCAATGATTTATTATTGATAAAAAGGAAAGTATGTATACCTGAAGACATCAGCAATTTATTACTAACAAAAAGTGGAATTATTATTATACTTTGTTGTACGGATTTTTCTGCACAATAAATTATTGGACTAAATGTAACACAAACCCCGCACTCAATTTCCAACACTTGACCCCCTGTAGTTCTGCGACTAATAAGAACCAAAACAACAATGATTGGCTAAATTAATATATAAATTAATATTAAAATAATGCAGACTTCCAACATTACATACAATGTGTGCATTTATAACTATTATGCATTAATATATAGCAGATTGTCCTGATATAATAAGCTACTATGTATATAAAATATTTTCCTTTAATAAAAAATCTTAGTTCATCATGTTTATTATAAATTTTCATACAGTAATAAACGCCAGGATCTAATAATATTGAACTATAAATAAATATGAATGAACAATGAATTATTGTGAAAATAAAATTCAAATTTTTTATCTATAATTATATATATATATAATGAATATATATATGATAAATTTGGAACTTTCTTACATCCATAGAATTAATTGATGGATGAATATATATATATATATATTAATATTAAATAATTTTGAATTTTTTTACGTCTATAATTAATGGACGTATATAATAAATTTGAATTTCCTTACATAATAAATGGAATTAATATATAATAAACTTGAATTATTACATCTATAATAAATAGAGTTAGCTGTTAATGAACTTATATTTAATAAATGGAGTTGTTAATGTGAATATATATGAAATAAATTGAACTTCTTGAAATTAAACCGTTAGACAATTTGTTGTAGTGTCATCTAGTCCAATGGAAGTGCCAACTCTGCTGTAGCAGGATAAAAGATGATAATAAAGAAAACAATAGCTAATAGTGAAATAATAATGGCAAGCTTAGTACCATCTGAAAAGATTTTTCATCAACTGGGGATAGATAATAAAAAACAAACGATTTTTAATGAATTCATAAAAAGTGTATATTATTTGTCTAGTAAATTATTGATACAAAATTTATCAAAGTTCTTAGCCGGCTAAGGTTTTTCTAACGGATGTTCTTGTGTCCATAGCTTTTTAAATGGGTCCAGAATGATAAATATAAAATTTTTGCTGCAAATACCAGTTCAACCATAAATCTTAGTGGAAAAGAAGTATAGTGTCTGCTAGTCACTATTACTATTACTATGTATTAGTATGACTATTCTATTTACCAATTAACTTTATAAGCAAAGAAATTGCAATTGGAAAACAACTTTCAGAAGTCAATCTAATTTTAAGTCTTTTGTATGCTGGCTATTCATTAAGCACCTTTAGGAATATAAATGTAGCATACCATTGGAATTAATGGATAAACATTATATTTATTGACTGAATGCACCTGAAACATTTTTCGAAAAGAATAAAATAGGTCCTTGATAGAGTATGGATGGACATAAGAAAAAAAAGCACAAAGTCAATCAATGTTACAAACAGTATACCAAAGCATATGGGCAGTTTTGTTTCTTTCCCCGAATTTGAAAAAGACCAAGTTTCAAAATGACGTTTTTGAAATTTGCTTTAATAAAAAATTGTTATAATGCAACCTTTGTTGTAGGAAAAAAGCAAATTATAATGGACAGAAGTTACATAAACTATCGCGGATTATTAACATATATAGAAATGACAGGTTTTACATTCAAAAAATATAAAAATACTCCATTTACTAGGTTCGTTTAAAGTTGGTAGCGCAAACGGGTTAAAATAATTCGATCACTCGTTCATGTTATAGTCTAGCCAAAGCAAGCATCATAACGTTGTTACCTGTAGAAGTGCATACCAAACTCTCACTTACTCGTGCGCACTATCAAATTCCTTCCACTTCATCACGGCTGAACCCTTCCCATGTTTGATAGATGAGTGAATGAAACATGAGCAAAAATTATTCACTATATTAATCTATTTTTTTTTTTGACTGCTCGCCCCTGCAGCACTTGCAATCCTTTTGTTTGCTGTTAATCTAGAATGCACGAATCACAATTATTATTACTAAATTTATAAAGAAAACAATAAAAAATAATGAATACAACAAACAAATAATGTTTAACAATAAAAATATAAATATTTTCGATTTTTGGTTTTTTTGTATTTTTTTTTTTTTTTTTTTGTTTTTCCTCTCGAAAATTTAATTAATAGACCAATTCTAATTTAGCGCTTTATTGAAAAAAATAATTTTTTTAAAATAAATTTATAAATAAATATTATATATATACACATTAAATAAATATGGACTTATATACGAGGCCAATAATTTTTCGTATTTTAAGAATTTTACAGCTTTTACATGCCTTAGCCTGTCTATCTATAGGTAATTATTATTGAAAAAATTGATCATTGGACGTTTAAAGAGCTCTAAAACTGACATTTTCTTTTTGTTTTTATTTCTTTTTTATTATTTTATTTTTACTTTTAAATTTTTTTGTTAGAGATAGCACAGTTTGTTATGTTTTCAAATTATGCAAAAACACAAAATTTAAAGATTTCAAATTATTTCAATGAAATTGGAATTAGTGGCAGTGGTGATAGTAACAAGTAAGCCGTTCCTCTATTTATTTTATCATCAATCAATCAATCAATCAATCAATTAATTTATTTTTTTATATATAGTTTTGAAAATTATGGAATAAAAGTTATTTATTATGTAGTGATACTAGTCACAATTATAACAATTGGTAAATCTATTTATAAACATATGCTTGCTATGTGTATGCTAAATACACATGCATTAGTATTCTGTATATATTAATTAATTATTTATATTAAATATTACCATGTTTAGTGTGGTGTTTGATAAATTTTAACAAATTCTGGAGAATTCCTTCATTGCACAGAGACATTAGCATTGATAGGTAAATATTTTATATACTGTATACTATTATATAATTTATTAATGAGAATTTTTTATCTTTGAAATTCTTTAATAGTTTTTTTGCTATAGTATGGACTATTTCAGGTAATAATTAATATAATTGATAAATTAATTAAATTCATTCATCCATTCGTCCATTCATCCATTCGCTTATTCGCTCATTCGCTCCCCAATCTATTCATCCATCCACCCATCCATTATTCATCGAATTCATATTCTTTCTTCAAATCAAAGGTTCAGCAAACATTTATTTATTGTATAATGTTGGAATTTTTACTAAATGTTCTTCATTTCCAATAACGGAGCTTGATAGTTCAACTTGTATATTATCTATATTAAGTGTAACATTTGTGGGGATAAACACAGGAACATTTTTGTTATCTACAATATTATTTTGGAGATTATCGAAAGAAATACAGTGGAGAGGAACTTTAGTTATTCACAGGCAATCAGTTAGTAGTAATGGTAGTAATAATAATAATAATAATAATAATAATAATAGATTAAGTACTATTAGGATGAGTAATAATAATAGGTTGAGTAATAATAATAAAAGATTTAGTAGTAAGAATAGATCCAATAGGTTAAGTAGTCTTATTTATTAATGTTTTTCTTAAAGGAAAAAAAAATGTAAATAAAATAACTGATAAATTTGGTAGTGTAGAGTGTGGATGATGCCTTCGTATTACACGACATATAATTACAATATATAAAATAAAAAAAAATAATGTCAAAAAAAATTTTTTTTGAATCCTTAAAATCCTTAAAAACCTAAATAAAGATATTAACTGACGACGGTTAAAAATGTTATAATATTAGATTATTTTTTCATTGTTCTACAAGATCCTTTTTCTTATTCGATTTACTTTTAGCCTTTAAATTTTCCACTTTATTATCCATTCTTTCTGTTCCCAAGTTTTCTTTTCTATTATTATCCACGGCTTTCTCGTCCTCTCTTGGATGCTTATCATGTGCCTATAATATAAGTTTGTATTCTTGGAATTTTACTAATTGGTCCGATCAACTAATAAATTCGATAAATGCCATAAATAAATTTAGTCTTTTGATCTTCAAATTTGTCAAATATGAATATATACATAAATAAATAAGTAAATTACTGTAAATAACCAATTCAAACCTTTTTTAGCCAATGTTGAGTATTTGCATGGATCGTACAAAATCAGTTAACATAATGATGATGCGTTGTACTTAATAAAATTAAAATTAAAATTAAATTAGAAAAAAAACTCACGAATAATAATATATATATGTGGAAATGGTAATCTACGTTTTTTTTTCAGTTTTTTTTTTTTTTATTTTAATTAAAAAAAAAAACTTCTAAATTTTTACGAAATAAAATAAATAATTAAACTAATAATAATAATAAAAAAAAATCAAAAAAAAATAAAAATGAAAAATTTAATAAATTCAAACTTTTCTATAATATCAACGATAATAACAATAATAATATCATTTACACTCATTTTAACGACGAGGGTTCCATTGACGACAGCAGAAAATAGACGAAATTTAGAAATATCAAAAACACTTCCTAATCGCATAATAATAAATTCATTCTCGATAGACAATAACAGCAACACCAACATCAATAGCAATAGTATAAAAGCGTATAAATTTATATTTTCAACAACGCTTATACCAAATTTTCATATACAAACTTTTCAAACCATTAGTAGTAATGACAATGATGTTGATGATAATGACTATAATGACAATGATAACGAAGAAGAGGAAGAATTGAAATCGTTAATCAGTTTTAGGGTTGGACTATTGGGATTGATCGAGTATAATGACACGATAACTTTGAGCGAGAGCACTAGTTATTATAGTTTGATTGGTAAAGGTGGATTATGGAGTGGTATTGAGATATCTAGTGAAGGTGACAATATAAAGAAATTCGAAACTAGTCTAATTGATAATACTAAAGGACAAAATCTTATAGTTAATATCATTGGATTCATCACTGGGTGGGTATTTATTATCAATCAATCAATCAATCAATTAATCATTATTATTATTAATTATAATTTAATTTTTGTTTTTTAAGGAATGCTACAAGAAACAGCGAAGGAATATTGTTGAGACCTTCAAGATTAAAATACACTCTATCGTTTAAAAATTTTCCATATATTTACAAAGACTCGAAGATAGCAATATTGCATGCTATATATTCATCGTCGACTTCAACGAAAAAATATGATTTAACATCTGTCAATATATTAGAAGCAGGAAGAAATTGTGGGGGTGGAAGAGATATAATAAATGTCGGAAAATTTGAATCGATTTCAACTGTTTTAGCAGATGGTAAAAAATATGATTTATTACTAGAACAAAAAGTTATATGGAAAGAATCAATTGAATTGATTAGCAATATCAATCATGTCAATAACAACATAAATAATGAAGGTGACGATCAATATATAATAAATGCTAACAATGGTAACATTAATATTAATGATGAATTGTTCGAGTTGATAGCATTTAAAATTCCAGTGATACAACCAACTGAAGTTATTTGGGATCCGGAGGTTGGAATTGATGACCCCAATGATTATTATTATAATGAAAATAATGACGATGATGGTAAATCTAGTAATGCTGTTAATGGTAAAGCTGTTAACGCTGTTCTAGAAAAAAGTTGGTTTGCATTTTTTGTCATTTTAATGACTATAATATTTTTACTGTAATAGATTGTTTAATAATAATATTTAATTTATAATTTAATGATAATTTAATTAATTTAATAATAACTTTAATATTAATTATGTAAAAAAAATTCGTTATGTTTGTCATAAATTTTTTAATTAGAAAATAATACACGCCACATAAACACACATACAAATAAAAATAATTAAAATTAAAATCGTAAATGAATTTGAAAATAAATGATCTGACTAAATTGGTAAAACCTGCTATTTTCGATTTTAAGATTATCATTTGAAAAAAAATATAAATTCTTGGTTTTTTTCTTTATCATAATGAAAACCATTATTTATCATAAACAAATTTGGCATAACTATGAAAAAAAGAAATCCATATTACTAAATAAATAAATTTCATTTTTATTTTAGAAAAAACTTTTTGGCAGATTTTTTATACGCTTGCTTATTTTACTAATTATGAAGAGGGGTTTAATAATAAACACACTTTTGACACTAAAAATAATACAATTACTCATAGCGTCAGCTTGTCTTGGATTACGTAAGTTATGATGTAATCTTGCATTTAAGAAATTTATTTTTAACAATTGACTAATTTTATATTTTTAGAAATATACAACTTCTTGGTATGGGATTCTTATCTGAATAGTGATCAACAAACATCATGGAATTTATTTTTTCAAACTAATCAAAGGTTTGAATTAATTAATTGATTAATCTATAATATTGATTTTAATAACTAATATGTGATGTTATATTTTTTTGTAAAGATTTTCAGAAACCAAGATATATTATTATATTGTGATCGGAATGACAATAATCGGAATTGGTAATAATTCATGATAAAAATTTTCATTCTTGATTAAAATTAAATGCCCAATAATCTTAAATATATATAATATATAAAAAATTTAGGAACAACAACATTACTTTTCAATAAATTATGGCCAAAAACGATTATAATTATAATTATAGATTTGTAAGTAATTTATCATTAGTGTGAATTATATTATTATGAATAACTATTGGAATTAATTAAATCCCATCATACATATTTGTAGAGCTTATTTAATTTTGTGGATATTAGTAGGTAAATATATATACTTGTATAGCATATATATATATATATATATCTTATAATTAATAGTTCTTATTTTTTCCAAATCCAAACAATTAGTTTTGTTGAGATTGGAATCAATAGATCATATTAATTCTTTTGTGTGCGACAGTTATGCTAGTTATGCTACAATAGATCATGACTACCCAGAAGTAATAAAAACAGAAGATGGTAATAATGAACCAGCCCCAGTACCATCATGGATAGAACATACATGTATAGCAGATCTTATTACAATATTGCTAATACTTGCAAATACAACATTATTCATAGTCACATTTTTTTCATCTATATTTGTGCTCAGAAAAGCAAAAAATAAGGATTTGTTGGAAATATATAATGAGCAAAATGATGAAAACGAGTTTGATGTTGGCGAATTGGCTGTTGATGACGCGGTGATTGTTGAAGAATGTCAAAATATGAGAAATATTGAATCGAGATATTCTGCTGTTGATGAAAATTGGTTGAAAAGAATAGTAGTTGATAGTAAATAAAAATGTTATTGTATTTATTATATAGATACATGATTTTATTTTAAGCGTAGATGTGATTAAGTAAATAAATTAATTTAAACAAAATAATTAGATTAAATAATAACCAATTTACAATAGAATATTTTTCTGCCTTTCATCCTTCCAGTCGAAAAAATAATTTAAACATGTTCATATCCTGATGTTATTTCATCATTATCGGTTTCCTTGATTTTCTTATTCTCATTCTCATCCTTATTCTGATTCTCATTCCTATTTTCATTTTCATTCTCATCTTTACTTTTCTCCCTGGTGGTTGTATCATCTTTTTCATTTTTATTAAATTTATTAAACAAATTCCTGGCTTGAAACAAGTAAATTTCTTCCTCCGGATGACCATTCTTTTGTCTTATAATCAACACAATATAAATTATTATAGATAATGCTATTAGATATCCAAGTTCTATAAACAGGAAAAACAAATTTGCTGATCTCACTCTGCAAATATAGTCGGATTGTGTAGGATCTGCACAATTATAAGCATATACTGTTGTATCTAGTTCATCTGCAGTATTTGAATTATAAATTGCTAGAGAAAGACAAATATTTTTGAATTTGGATGTAATGGGAATAATTAGAATAGTTAGAATAATGAATGAATGAATGAATCAATCAGATAAGTTTTAGATTAATAATAACTAATTAATCAAGTAATTTAAGTATATAATTACATGCTATTAAAATCCATAAAGTTAAAAGAAATCTAATATACAAAAGTTATTATATATAATTTTTTCAATCAATTACCAACTAGTTATTAAACAAACTTACAGCCAAAATGCTCTTTCAGATCTCGGAATTGGAAAAAATTTTTTAGTTAAATATGCATTTTTCCATGATAATGCTATTGTATATTAATATATTTATTAGCATATAATATTTACGAATCACAAATTAATTATATATAATAATTATTGGTTAATATTTACCAACATTAAAAAACAATAAGATTGTAAATGTAATATAACTAAAATGAAAAATAAAAAAGTGTTAATATTTGGATTAATAAATAAAATCAGAAAGAATCAAGTAAAAAAGAATTATATATATACTCACAATCCTTCCAGTGCCTCAGAATAGTCAACATCGTTACTATTAAAAGTTGCAAGTTTTGCAATCTCTAAAATTTAAAAATATTGTAATTGAAAATCAATAATAATATAATTCAATGAATTCAAATTTATTAAAATTATTCAATATTGCATACCAAAAGCAATACATAATATTGTAAACACCGTTGTGATTATCAAAAATACAATATAAATTCGTGTGAAAATTCTTTCCAAGAAATGATTATCAACATTCATATTTTATTATTTAATAATTTTAAAGAAAATAAAAAAACTATGTAGAAATTTTTTGAGAAAAAAGGCTCGAAATAAATTAGTATATATCTTAAATGTATAATTTTGGAAAGATTATATGATAATCTGTCGAATATTTTCATGATCATGTTTGTAACTTTCCAACTACTGACTATTATAATCATTACCATTATGAAAATGGCAAATTACATCATTGTATCGTGTCGTGTTAGTATTAGTTATAAATTTATTATTATGATCCAAAATTAATTTGTTAAAAAACGGGATTTTTTCCGTGATCTACATCGTTAAATCACGTGCCAAATTTTAAATGTTTTCTTCTTCTCAAAGTTTTGAAGAAGAATTAAAAGAATATGTTATTAATAAATACAATAAACATGTGGGATATTTATTTATTATTGTCCATCATACAAAAATTAATTAGTGCGACGATTGTTTCATTATTTGATATCTACACCAATCCTATGAAATATACTAAAATCCTACGAATAAACATATAAATATCTAATTTTTTCTCGCTTGTTGTAAACAAACCATTTTTTTTTTTTTTAATTTAAATAGAAATAGAATAAATTAAAATTATTTTTAAAAAAGTTAAATCAGGAATCAGGAGGAAAAAATCAACTCAAAAAATGATTTAATCTCGTATTTTTAATATTAAAATAATAATAATAACAAATAAATTATGGAATTGTTGATGAGAGCATTATTTCATTTTTTACATTTTTTAAAAATTTTCGCACTCATTTTAACAATAATTTTTGGTAAACCCATTTTTTTTTTTTGGAGTTTTGTTTATTTATTTCTAACAATGATAATATAATGACAATTAACAAATATTTTTGGCATAATTTAGGTATATTAAAATTTAATATATTCTCACGATTAAATGAAGAATTGTCATTTAACAATATTTTAGAAATAACGTAAAAAACACTAATATAATCATATCATTTAAATATTTAAATATTATTATTTATAATTAATACACTAATTCTTTAAATAATAGATATATTTCTATAAGCTTTTGTTATTTGGCTTTTTGTAAGTAAATAAATCATTATTAATCTTCCAGGAAATTTTGACCAATTTTAACATTAATTAAATTTTTATTGACTGTAGTTGCAACATATTTACGATTAATATTTTCATATTCAGAAGATTATCATTATTATTATTCAAAAGATTATTATGATTTTTGGAAGAAATATATACAATTATATAAAATAGAAAGGTAAATTAATTAATTGGTGTATTCATACTAATATCAATCAATTATAATAATTATTATTATTATTTAATATTACATTCTAGCATAATATCTTTGATATATTTAATATTTGCATGTAAGCATATCCACACATTTAAACTACAAGTTTTGATTTTAAAAGGCTCTAATATTGTGATAATTAATACTATTTAATCATTAGGCATTTATACCAAATTAACATCTAATGTAATAGAAGGCGAAATACCAATAAATTGTCCAAACGATTGGAAATATCCTCATCAATTCAATGATAAGAATAGTATTAAGGAAGCTTGTAAATATAGATTATATAATTTGATATTTCTTTGGTTGACAATATCTTTACATATGATGGTCATCCCCATATTGTTGTATAATAGAAGAAGAACAAGAGTCATTGAAGATTCGGCTGGTTTGTATGAATGATGATGAGGGAATTAGAGATGTGGATATCAGGATGAGGGCGAGAATTGGGCGAGAAAAAAATTAGGAGATAATAATTTAGTATTTATTTAGAATAATAATAATTAATAATAATCATTTCAATTTGTAAATTTTAACCAAACAAAAAAAAAGTAAATAAATAATTCATTCTCAATCAAATTACAAATAATAATGATTTTTTTATCATGACGGTGTTTCATAGATTATCGTCATCAATGAAAAAATATAAATAAACAACCTCAAATTTTAGATTTAATCTTTGAATTTGTTTTTTTTCTTCGTAAAAAATTGATTTTGCATTCAAAAAAATAACAGCTGTGCAATTTAATCGCAATAATTAGAATTACACGAGGCAGATTTAAATAATAACATAATAATAAGCAACCCCACAGCGGAAGCCTGTAGTTTAGGAAGCGATCTTCTATACCGAAGCTATTCACCAAAGATATTCGTACTCTATCATAATTCGGTGGGCATTAAGTTTAGATAACTTTAGAAACTTAATGGTGATGATTTTATCGATTAACAATGTTGTTTGCAAATGCATCTTTTTAAATTAAAATTCATAATCACATAAAGATCTTTTTTTGTTCAATATTACTAAGCGACAAAAAAATCTTGAGTGTATGCATAGAATGCATGTATACACTCACAACAACAATTAATTGACGGAAAAGAAAAGACAGCGTGGAATTTGTTTATTTATCCATATCCCGAGATAATAAAAAAGCATACATTTACATAATAAATAAAATTGTGATATTTTGAATTTTATGTATTGTTTTTTAAAATTTTATTTTATCTTCATAAGCAACATTCACTATGTTTTCCCAATCCTATGTTATATATGTTTTTCAATCCTATGTAAGTTGTGCGGATCTAATACAAATAAAAAAAAGTTTTAAAAAGTTTTTTTTTTTTACAAACCAAAATTTGTTTCCATTTACTATTTTATGAATGAAATCATTAACAATTGGGGGAGTTTTATTATTATATAGTTTGTTAATATTAATTATATAAATTGTAAAGATAAATTAATAATTTATTTTATGCTGAAGTTTATTATATATATTTTTTCTAACGTGAAATGAGTATTTCTCTACTATTCAACGATATAGCTATTTAATTATAAGCAACACAAACAAAACACGGTGAACAGACAAATAATTAGATTATTTGGGATTTTATAGATAACTTTAATATTTGCATTTTAATTAGCATTAAAATTGATAAATAGATTTTGGCTCATTAAAAAAAAAAAATATATGAGCATTTCTTCAGACGAATTTCAAAACTGCGGAACGATACACACAGACTTTGCCTACACGGAAAAAAGACAGGAAAGTTGTTCTCATTTAACGTGATACATGCAGACGTCCTTGACCCCGTCATGGAAAAAAAATTGTACGATTTGGTCATGAAGTGTATGACAATTGGATTTTATTATTGGTTTGTTAATTATATATATAACTAAAGGTAAATAAGAATCTATTTAATGCTGAAATTTGTTATATTGCTACGTATATTAATTATAAGAACACAAACAAATAAGTAAATATATTATTATTCTGCATATAATCAGATATTTAGAAGTAATATTTTAATATTTTAAAAAACAGTATGGATTTTATAACTTTAATGTTACACCTTTAAATTGATTCTTGTTTCAAATTCATTTTGAATAGATGAAAAGAAAATTTTTACTTATGTTGCAGATCAAGAAAATGTGGTTATGTTACACATGTTTTTGATATTTTCAAAGTCTTGTTATGCTAAGAAAACATGGTCTGATTTTCTCGCCTGAATTAGTATAGTAGTATATCATAAATGCACGTGAGCACGTGAAACTGGATTTGCAATTCCTGGATCGTAATATAATCTGTTACTGTGTAAAAAAAAAACTGAACCAAATATTTTTAAATATTTTCAAACTAAATATAACAAATTAACTGATATATGGTTTCAAGAACAAATGAAATATGACCATTGATGATAATCAAGTTGATGTGCGATTGGTGATGACTGCGATTCGTTAGTTTTTCATACACTCTTGTTTTAGGATATAACACAAATGTAAAATGTTATTAGAGGACAGATCATTATTTCATCCTCTTTCACACCATCATCGTACGATATTCACGCTGTTTACGCAACGTTTGTATATTCGATCAATTAGAAATCATAGTAGAGGTTGGAATCGTCCAAAAAAATCCTTAGTCGACTAAATTTTTTTTTAATAATAGATAGCAGTATTTCTTTTTTTTTTTTAATTTGCAAATTACAAATTCATTTTCATTTGAATCTTTCACTTTTTCAAACCACTTCCACACAAAACCATGTGTTACGATTCGTTTTTTTAAAGGTCTTCTGGAACCACCGCTTAAATCGTTGGAACTTGAAGCCAATGAACTATTACCTTGTATCGGAAGTGTTTATTAGTTCACATGTAAAATTATCATCAACACCATTGTCGTCATCATCGTATTGGTGGTATTGATATCTTCCGCATATAAATTTTCCATTTTGAATGATAAAACACAAAAATCGTAATTGGTCAGACAATAGTACTGGTATTATTATTAGTAGTCGACTATTAGTTTTCGAAAAAAAGTTTAGTCGACTATTTTAGGATTCCAACCTCTAAATCATAGTTAGTCTCCTATCACAATATTTTTAGGAGTAAGGAGAAAAGAATCAATCTGATAAATTACTCTTAAAATATTTTATTATAATTATAATTATAATAATAATAATTATTATTATTCTCAAATAATCAACAAAAAACAAGAAGAAGACAAGAAAAAAAGGAATCCAAAACCAATTATTTTAAGCACGATTGGATTTAGGAAACATAGTCACACTTTGGAGAAAAGATAAAATAGTAAAAGAAAATAAGAAATCTTATAAACTTTGTGTTACAGGGATTTTTATTTTTATTTATTTGACAAAAGAATAATAATAATTTCTCGTGTGTTCATATTTATAGATTTTATAAATATGCATAAAAATTAACATGTGGGGCATTAAAAAAGAAGACTCCATCCGTCCATGTACATACTACTATTACTATGTTAATATGTAATTGTCCACTTGGTTGAGGAATCTTTAATAGATTTATTAATTTCAAAGAAAATTTCTAATTCCACAAATATGGTTTTTTTTCTCTCAATTTATTTGTTCATTATGCTTTTTCTTAATTTATAACAATGAAAAAAAAAAACCAATAAATTCATAATGATCTACACTACATATAATTTTGAAGTTAGATCAATATCCTATTATAAAATCTAGTATAGAACTGTGTCATCAATTACATCAGTTAGTATAAAATAAGATTTCATACCTTTTGAACCTGTGATAATTAAATAATTATTTGTTTGAGATGATTTAATCAATTAGTGAATAAAAAGATTAGGTTTTGGTTTTTTGTTTTTGTTTTTGTGCTTTTTAAAAACTTTTTTTCCAATTTCCTTTTTTTTTTTATTCCTATAGAATTTTAAAGTTTGGCTAGTCCAAAATAACTTCAAGTGTTTTTTCTGTTAAATTTCAATTGATTTGAATTATTTATAGATAAAACAAACATAACTAAAATATTGTATAAAAACTTGATATATACTAAGTATCAAAAATATCAAAAATTTAATTAATAATGTCAGAAATAATAGAAAGAACTAATCAAATGCAAGAACAAAAACAGGAAGATTCTCGAGAATTTCAAGATTACAAAGATGAAGAAAGCGAAGAAAATCAAATCAATAGAGAAATTGTAAATAAAGATAAAGCTAATGATGGAGCTGATAATAAGGAAGACGACGACGAGGAGGACGACGATGAGGGGGAAGAGGAGGGGGAAGAAGAAGACGAAAAAGTATTAGAAGCAACATCATCATCATCAATAATAACAAATACAAAATCGTTGCCATTTAATAAAGACGAATTGCCACAACTACCAGCAGCAACTACAGCAAAATACAGGCCAGCATACATATCATCGCCGTCGTCGTCATCATTATTATCATTATCATCATCATCAACTACTACTGCTGATAATGATACAAATTTGATTGATAATGTTACCAAGAATAATATTATCATTGCTAAAAAACAAGGATACCAAGAGAAAGAAGAAGAAGAAGAAGGCCCGCCAGAACAAAGCAATCCGTCAAAATCAAATACTTCCTCAACATTAACTAAATATAGTAGAAATGGAATACCATTAATACATCAGAAATTAATAGATCGTCAAACATTTTCATTCTCTGCTGAATTAATATCTCAGGTGAGTTACTGTTATATAATCCCATTATTATTATTTATAATTTGAGTTATGTTGAATATTTTAATCTAAAAAGAATTATTTATTTATTTTGTATAGTTTGATAGATATCGTATGCAAATGCGTGAAAGCATTAGACATGAAATAGATGGTGACGATGATTGGGTAATTAATCAATGAAAGAAACTTCTTTGTAACAATTAGTTAATTAATAATTTAATTTAATTTTTATTTGTGGTTGTGTAGAAAGTTAAAAATTCCAGTTTTAACACTTCCAATACCAAAAATACCAATAATAACAACGATAACAAGGTAGTGGATTTCGATGCAATACAGCAACAGCCTATAATTACGTCAGAAGATGATGAACATGACGACGACAATTCAACAATAAATAATAATCGATCAATAAACAAGAGGAAGAAACAAAAGAAAAGTACTAGTAAATTAAAATTATGTTTTTCTAAACCCAAAAAACAGAAAAGACGACTACAACATCAGCAACAAAATGATAAAAAGTCAACTTTTAATTTATTTAAAAAAATATTTTCATAAAAGATTATAAAAGATTCTACAATTAATTAATTTAATTGATTTTTTTTCTTTTTATTATTATTATTTATTGATGATTATAAATTTATATTCACCTATATATTATACATATATTATTATACATTGTTATATATTTAATCAATATAGCATATTATCATTATAATTATCACGACTATTGTATCTATAATTACAGCATGTATTAACACAATAAATATGTTCGTTTGTGATAATGATACTGTATATATGAATGTTTATGAGCATAAACACTAAAATGCTGATGGTCGTAATGACTCTCCCGCAATTAGAATATAACCAGAAATGACAGAAGGGCAACCACATGAATAGATAACAACCAACCCAGAAAAGTACAATTGGAAATATGTAAGCAGTTGATCGAAAATCTGATGACATTCGTTTCCTTTAAATTTGTTTTAATAAAAAAGAAAAGCTAATACTTGAATAATTTCTCTTTCATTCAATTGCCCAAGTATAAGTTACTTTAAATATATACATGGAGCTATTTTCTCATCTTGTTCTCTTTTAATAGTGAGTGCTGTAATTCTTTGGTTTTGTTGTACGTGAAAATGAAATTATGTGAAATCGCAATTCACATATGTGAAATTCAAATTTACATACGTGAAATTCAAATTAGCTAATCAGAATTTCACCCCACTCCATAATATTTCAATTTCACATAATTTCAATTTCACATACAACAGTTCCATTAAATTTATATTTTTAGTATAGGAACAATCTTTATCTGTGGATAATAAGTAGTGGTAATTACAAGTGTGACGTTTAGCAAAATTCAATCTTTTCGACTTTGTTGTAATGTTTAAAGCATGTGTGTTTCGAGTTTTCGCATGTTTCAATACTTTTGGATATTTGTAAATATTTGTAAATGGAATATTCCGTCGTAACGCTGGGAATATTCGCAATTGTAGTAATATTTAAAATAGAAAATTCTTTTTGGAAGAAAAATACCTTTCAGATAATAACAATAATATCATATTCGAACTTTCATCCAAGTATGGAACAATTCACTTTGCAAATGTTAGATAATTTGATATGAAAATGTAAATTTCTCTAACAATGGGCGCGCGTCACGTTATACAACATTCGTGCGACTAAAAATCTGTGCAGAAGACAAGGCTGTTGTATATATGTTAAATTGAAATAATTAAAATTTTGGGGTAGGGTGTTTGTATATGAAATTCTGATTGGCTAAGTTGAATTTCACGCATTGCAAATTCACATAGATTTCATTTTCACATACAACAAGGCTAAAACAAACTTCTTATTATTCTTAAAATAGCTGATTATATCTCTTTCTAATGCTCAAGTAGAAAGAATACTCTCTCAACAAAATTTAATAAAAATAAAATAATAAATAAAATGAATATTGATACATTTAATGAACAGAGATAGAAGATTTCGATTTTGAGAAAGCATATAAATAAAACATTGGGAAAAGAAAAAATGAGTAATGAATGTCAAAGAAAATTATTACATATAAAATTTTTTATTCTGATTATGGAATGTGTGCATATAGATTGTGTTGCTATTGAATTTTACACACACTGGTTCTACAGTACAACTTTATTGTTCTTGCAGATCCTTTGACTCTTCCAAAAATGGAAATGCATGACCAAAAAAACAAGATGTAATTTTGAAGTTATGGTTCAAGTCAGGCTTTGCAGAATGGTACAACTTATATGAAAATAGAAAATATCGAGAATACAATATAGACCAGAGTAACACTTTTTTTTCATTGAATAATGACAAAATTTCCAATGAAACATCCTTTTTCAGCTCAAATTGTAAAGCTTCCAAGATCAAATTTATGCTAGAAGAAATATCAACACTGAAACATGTAAAAAAAAGAAGGCTAGATTTGTAAAAAGATCAGGATTATATTCTCTGCCACAATGAAAAAGAAGATTTCAGTCATGTCTGGTCCTATCATCAAAACAAAAAGAAAATACAACAAATCTGTCATAATACAAAAGAAGAGCTATACAGCCAAATCAATAACATTAACAACAATAATAATTCTCCTATTCTCATAGAACATAGCACCATATAGTCTGTTAATAGCAACCTGAACAATCTCACATTTATTGACATGATCAAGGGTATTGTTCCTTCTTTTATTACCAACAAAATACAAAATTATACCACAAACTCAACAATAACTACCCAAATCACATCTATCATTATGAACAATATATATTTAAAAATCATGGAAACCCAGATGTGAAGAAATGATTAAATTAGAAATCTCATTAAATATTACTAAAAAATAAAGAAAAATAAAAAAGAAATACAATAAAAATCCTACTAACAACTCCTATAGTAGTCTAAATAGAGATACAAACAATTTATCAAATGGTTCTGAGGGTATAGAATATGCAATTGCATCAGGTGGTTTCCTTTTAGATTATTATAATTAGTAATAACCATTTGCTTTTATCTACGTTTGAATGTTAGGTGTCTAAATCTTAATACCTTTTTTAGGCCTGATTTAGTATGTAACGGTGATTAGTTTAATAGGGGCAGTCATTTTCTTTTTTTATGTAACTCATGTATCTTCATTGTCTTATATACGATAAATAAAATTACGTGATATTACTTCATCGTTAAAAAAAAATAAAAAAAATATAACACCCATATGAAAGCTTAAATTATTTTACATCTTTTCACCAATTTCCAAGACATTTACAGCAAAGTTGAAAAGAAAATCTTTCTTTGAAGTAACCATTTTTGATATAAAAAAATATTCATATTTTTAAAAAACGGGTTGTTACACGATTCGAATTTTTTTTACGATTGTACCATATTTGGAATAAATGTCCAACTATCTAATTGTATTTAAATAATACATTCTGGAAATTTTTATTATACAAATATGCACATAATATATAGAAACAAAATTATTATATTAAAAGTAAAAAATAAATAAAATAAATAAATAAATATGTTTTAAATCTAAATCTTTACACAATATCAGTTGATTCACTAGTTTTATTTATTGCACTATTCTCTTGATTAATTATAGCATCATTACTAGTAGTATTGACAGAAGGTTCTTTTGTTTCACCTTCATTTACTATCCCTTGATCTTCACGAATAATTATAGCATCATTATTAGTAGTATTGACAGAAGGTTCTTTTGTTTCACCTTCATTTACTATCCCTTGATCTTCCCGAATAATTATAGCATCGTTACTAGTAATATTGACAGAAGGTTCTTTTGTTTCACCTTCATTTACTATCCCTTGATCTTCCCGATTAATTATAGCATCATTACTAGTAATATTGACAGAAGGTTCTTTTGTTTCACCTTCATTTACTATCCCTTGATCTTCCCGAATAATTATAGCATCGTTACTA